ATTGTGTTTTATCAAGGACCTGTAGGTAAAACAAACTTGTAAAGTAATCATTTTAAATTTCCCTAAGAGTTTTAAGGAATCAGAAATTTGCATCATTAACCTTTCTGAACTGTCCTATATGCTTTCCCTTATTTTATATCAGGAAATCTCTCTAAGTGCTTCATTCTAATGAGTGTCCAAAACAGTGCTATGAATGTAAACAGCAATGAAAAAGATCAGGTTTTGAAATGCTTAAGTATCTTGTATTCAGATACTCCATGAGTTATATTTTTCTTGCTGTTCAGCAGACAGTAAAAGAAGCTTATTCATAGTTGTATTATAGTCATATGAGTTAAAGTTGAAAAAGCAATTTGCTCATTTTATGACTTAAAAGCAATTTTGTCCCTATATTTTAAAAATGGATGATCATGGATGTGTAATCACTCCACTTAAATTATATTGAATATGTATGTATTTGATGGTAAACTAAAAATGTCTATGTATATTTTGTCATGTTTATTTTTGAAACATTTCTATAGGTCAGCAATGCATCCTATATTATTGCAGATATAATTTAATTTTTTGCCATTATAAAACATTCAAGAGAGTACATAATTTTTCAAAATTATCTTGGTATTAAAATAAGCATGAGTATTTCTTTGCACTCTGTCATCTGGATACCTGTCATTTCATAGACAGTTCCTTTTTTCTCCCCCAATTTGCCACCCACTCTATGGCTTGCTGATGCCTGGAGTTCTAGTTAGAACGTCCTTCTTTAGGAATCGTTCAGACAGGAACTACTCCATTATGAAAATACAATCATTATTCAGAAAGTTGTGTATTTACCTTTATCAATAATTTACAACTGAGAATGAATGAATTTATCATATTTCGTGCTTTCAAAAGCAATTAGCAGAAAATATGATAAATTCCCAAGAGAAATGGAAAGGGTCTGTGTTACACACGGAAGAAAAATGGGCAAAAGGAGAAGATTGTGTCTCAGGATGTGGAGGAATCAACATGACTATATTTTTCCTTATGTTAGTAACACATGCTCTAAAGGTGAGCAAGGCCCATTTTTATGTTCCCTGAATTGTTAGGTCCAAATAATTATGTAGTTGGCTCCCAAATTTCATGTCACCAATCTTAGGCTTACTTAGAAATATCCTCAGTTGTGGTTTTCTTTCCCTTCACAACAGAGTTAATACACATTCATACCTCACTGAGGGTGTCCTTTCTAGCTCGTGAATGCATTCAAACACAATTAAAAGTATATTTAGGAAAGATTTTCTCTTCCTACTAACATTGTTGGAGGATAGATGAAAGTGTGTGTTGCTGGGAAAGAGGGAAAGTTTAGAGAATAATTAAAGAGAAGAACATGCTAGAAGGTGTCACATTCATGTCATAAATATTATGCAGCCAATTAAAGTAACAAAAGGACAAATAATCCAATCAACAGCTAGATATGTACAGACATTTCACAATGAAAAAATTCAAATGGTCAACAGGCACATGAAAAGTTGCTTAATATCATTAGTCATTAAAGAAATGCAAATCAAAACCATAATGAGATATCACTCCACACCCCCTACGATGGTTTGATTTTAAAAAGAAAGAAATGAAAGGGAGGAAGGAAGGGAAGTGGGGATGGAAAGAGAAAGGGGAAAAAGAAGGCAGATATTTTAGGGGAAACAGAAAAGAAAGGAAAGGAGGAATAAAGGGGCGGAAAGAAATAATTATTACCCAGAGTGTGGAGACATTGGAAACCTTATCTATTTCTGGTAAACCAAAATTAAAATCACAGTCATTGCCATCGAGTTAGTTTGACTCACAGTAACCCTGCAGGATGGAGTAGACCTGTCCCCGTGTGGTTCCACAACTGTAGCTCTTCACAGGAATAGATAACCTCACCTTTCTCTCAAAGAGCACTCCAACGGTTTCGAACGTCTGATCTGGTGATTAGTAGCCTGCTGTGTAACCACTACATCAAATGGCACATCTACTGTGAAAAATAATTTGGCAATTTCACACAGAAAATGAAACATGTAAGCTAACAATTCCAATATGAATGGCCCAAAGATGAAACCAGCCTCAATCTCCATGAGCAGAAGAGTGAAGACACAAATGTGGTATGCAATGGAATATTACTGAGCCCCCAAAAAGACCTTCTATAATCTACGATGTGAATGGACTATGAAAATATTATGCTGAGGTAAATAAATCAGCTTCAAAAGAAAAGAAAACTGTAGGATCCCACTTTTAAAAAAAAGATCTAGAATAGGTTACCAGGGGAGGATGAGGTAGAGGGAAAAGACAAGCACAATGCCTAGAGGGCGGTGAGCTTCTAATAAGATGCTGAGAACCATGGAGACTAACAGTGATGGCTGAAAAGCAGAGGGAGGACACGGAATCCCTGAAGTATACAGGAGATGGTTGAAATGACGAATGTCTGATAAAAGAGATAGCAATAGGAATTTGACAGATGTCACCATATGCAATCTGTATATCTTTTCATAAATCTAAAGTCATTCTTAGTTAAAAGTTTATTAACACATAAAATGAAAAGACGTGTGTATGATACAATACTATTATTATATATTAGGCCACAATAAAATCCTACCAACATACATATGTATCTGTGCTACTTATCTATGGAAATGTATATACAAGATATAAAATTACTGGTATTGGGAAAGAAGTACACGAGAACATATCAGGGTATTAACACAAGCTATCTTGTCAGGAGTGGGAGCAGATGAGCCATGTGGAAAAAGGGAAGTTGAAGGGAGAGAGAAAGTGGGGAGTGGGGGTGATAATGTGGAGACAGAAGAGGAGGAGAACCAAGAGGAGGCTTGTCAGCCTCTACAACAAAATCTCAGTTCTGTAAAGTACATCATTCAATGTGCACAGATGGCAGAAAATTAGAAAATGTTACCAAAAAGAGATCCGAGTTCTTGTGTTCAGCAATATCTGTGGTCACGTCGGGTGGAAAGCAGTTTTATTAGAAATGACAGAGTCTCCCTCTAGTTCAGGTCAAGAAAAATCGACGGTTTTATTAGGAATATATGTCTGTTATGAGCACGATGTCGGGAGGGAAGGAAAACCTCCAAAGGCCACACTCACTGCTTAGAGTAAATTCCCAGTGATTGTCATTTGGGTCTTTATGCCACCACATAATGCCTTCATCAACATATTTGAAAATGCTTACTTCTGGAATTGAAAAAAAGTTTTTAAGGTTTATAGAGGGAAAAAAATCCTTTTGCCATATTGTGAATGTACCTAACAAACAACCCCACCCCTGTAATTGTGGCTGTCTTCCCCTAACTGGCCTTCATCTGAGCAAGTTAAGATGTCAAAACTAGACTCTAATAATGTTTCCAAACCTCCACTGCCTGGGCAGAGTGCTCTCCTTGTGCCATGCTTTCTCCTCTTACTGAGCCATGTGATAGCTCCAATAGGATGATTTCATTGGAGACCCTTGACGCTGAGGCACTTTGTAGAGGCAAATAGTGTGTTCACAACGTGTGTGTGACCAGGGCCTTTTACATTTACCTTCTTTATAGTCCTTGGGGAACCCTTGTAGTGTAATGGTTATGCATTGGGCTGCAATCCTTATGGTTGTCGGTTCAAAACCACCCAAAGCTCCGTAGGAGAAAGACTGGGCTTTCTTCTCCCAATAGCATTTATGGTCTCGGAAACCACAGGGGGTAACAATGAATCAGCATTGGCTGGATAGCAGTCAGTTTGTTATTTCAGAGTCCCTCAGAAGGAACTCTACCCCCTTTAAACGTTGGATCTGCCCTCTAGTGTCTGGCAGTGTGGTTTCCACTGGAGTCTCCTACATTCCTCCAAAAGATATTCTCATGCTATTGTTGCTAGTACTTTGCTACCAGGGTGAAGCAATTTAGCTGTGATTGCAAAGCGCCCTGTGCCTGTACACAACAACAGAGATTTCACGTTTCCTTCCAGGAGTAATAGGCAGGGTGCTCAGAACCTTATAGCGCTGCACTGAAATGTAAGCTTGCGTTTGTGAAGAAGTCTGTGTTCTCAAGTCTCCATTCCCGTCGTCTTAGTTCTTGGGATACATTTGCAAATGTTCTTCCTGACTGTGAAGTTCCTTTAGCCTGCAGGTCATATTCTTGTTGTGGTGTTCTTCCCAGGACCAGATCTGCCTTATAAAGGTTTCTAGGTTGAAATCTTTATTAGGGCGAAATGCCAGGGATTTTCTCCTTTGGAGTGGGCTCCAACCACTCACCATTTGGTTAGTAGCCAAGTCTGCCACCAGGCTGCCACCAGGGTCCCCTCAGACCCAACCAAACCAAATCTCATTGATGTTTGTGGTTTTGGATCGTGAGATGAGAGGTGGGCGTCAGCTCATTAGCCAGATAATAAGAGATAATAAGATATAAACTGCATAGCTCCCTTTCTTAATCGACATGCTATCTGCAATTTTCCTTTTCCCCCCTCTCCAAAAATATCATGCAATAGCCACTGATCGCTCATGCTTTTCTTTCTGTGGTGACTTTTACCAACCCATGTTATACATGCTAGTTTGGCAGATTTGGGCAATTTAGGGTACAAGTTGATTATTAACACTACTGTGTTCTGGAGGTAAATATGTTTCGTTTCTGATTAACTGCAAGTTAAGTATTTGCATTGTGAATCATCTGTGACCTATTTGAAATACTGATTTACTTTCTTTCCGCTGTGTCCTTGAGCCAAGTCTCCTACGAGATGCTAAATGTGTTCAAGATACATCAACTAATTTTCATAAAAGCCTAAGGGAAAATAGGACAGAAAGCAAATATCTGGCCAAGATATTCACATCACATGTTCCTAACTCAAATAGAAATGATTTTGTATCATTTTTTTAGGATGATTCCAGACAGCATTCTCTATATTTAGGAAATTTTAATAATTGATTGTCTCCCTTTAGTACTGGGCCGTGTGGATTCATGTACTTCTTAGAAGTGCAATCAGATTTATAATCTTTCCATATTTCAATCTTCCTTTGTTCACAGGTGCACCATCGATGACCGTGTCACCCGAGTGGCCTGGCTCAACCGCAGTACAATCCTCTATGCTGGGAATGACAAGTGGTCAATAGACCCCCGTGTGATCATCTTGGTCAACACACCAACCCAGTACAGTATCATGATCCAAAATGTGGACGTATATGACGAAGGCCCATATACCTGCTCTGTGCAGACAGATAATCATCCCAAAACATCCCGGGTTCACCTCATTGTGCAAGGTAAGTCCCAGCTGGACCGGGGGCCTGGTATTACTTTAATGAAGAATGTGGAGAGAAAGCGGTCTTTGCTTCTATTAATATCTGCACAAAATAATAATAATAACAAAGTCATTTTCCTCTATTGAATCAGAACCTGAGTGTAACTTCTGTATTCTTTTCTATATAATGGTTTTTAAAACAAGGACCAATTGTTTTCACAAAGTTTCTCAAGTTTACCTTCTGTTCCCATGAATAAGTGATTCGGCAAGTACTTGTGCTTGCATAAGCTTGGCTCTACGGTATTGGGAAGAGATATGTCATGTGTTACTCTGTGCCTTAATTTTGTTTGAGACTTATTTCTGAATAAAACTTTATAATACTGATGCTAAAATTCAAGGGACTTGTGACTAGTTTTTGTAGAGTTGATATGCAGGGGAAATTCCAGAGGCTTCTGAGAACTGGGAGGTCCACCTTTTTCTGGCTTTGCTGGCCATGTTTCTGCACATATTTTCTGTCCTCAGGGAGTCCGGACCATGAGGCAAATTGCTCAAAATGATATCTCCTGGTCTATATTGGGGAAAAAATCTGTAGATTAAAAAAGAAGGGTTGCAGAATTCTCATATCCTATTGAAATCTTCTTTTAAAAAAATCAGAATCAGTACCTAATCAGAGTGCCATGCAAATACATTTTCTTGAGTTTTTATTTACATTTCACTTTGTAGGAAAAGAGGATTTGAAAAACGTAGGAGCTACAGATAGCTATTAAATATTCAGAATGAAAACCCATGTAGTTAGTAGTTTTGAGCACCCAACAACTCCTTTAAAGCAAAGTAGCGATCCAAAATTGAACTGAGTTCTAACTACCCAACCAAGACTTTGCCATGCAAAATAAATTCTGTAAGGTGTTGATTATGGTAGGAATGAAGTTCTAAATCATGAGCTGGCACCGCCCAGTGACATACCTTTCACCTTATACTAAGCATCTTGGTGTGAGACCTTCCTCCACGTCTCCAGTGCTGACAACATGGGGCATAGATGTTGCTATCGGAGAGAGCCCAGGTGTGTGTATTCATCTTTACGAGCAACCATTTACTAGATCTCACTGATCATGTATTCAACAGAGCCTTGTTTTAAGTTTCTGCAATAGGTCAGCTACGTGCCCTCCCTGTGTCTTTTTGTTGGGAAACTTTTTATTGTGAATCATGTGGGGGGTTACGTATCAGGTCCTCATTTTGTGTTCTGTCGCTTTAACAATTTATCTGTCTTCCCATGTGGAAGCTTATTATTTTTCTCATTTCCCTTGGTTTCACGAAAAATCTTTGAGTAAGGACTATTATCTATCTCTGCTTCACTTATCTGTAAAATTTAGGATGGACATTTTTTTTTCTTTTGCCTAAAACAGCCCTTTGTGAGAATAGCCTTCGGTTCTCTCCCTCTTATGTGCACAGATGAGGGTTTTGTAGGCCTGTTGTAGTGGCCTGTGCTGCTGGCTCAGAGACCGGTCTGCCGTGGCCCCTGTGCAGCAGCAGCCCCTGCCCCTGTTACACTGCTTGAAGTTTTGCCTTTGTTGAAGCGAGAGCATCTGGCTGTCCCCTATATATTTTCAGATGCCCACATCAGCCTCTCCTATGACAGGTGTCTACGTGCTTTGCTGTTTCCATTCCTTATGCATGTCCCATCCTGAGTATGACTTGGTAATGGTAATGGATAACTGTTTTGCAGCTATGGACTGCCTGCCAGCTGGACTGAGGGACAATTATCAGTGCCTGGTGCTTCTTAGAGGAGGGTCGAGACCCTGGGAGAGATCATTCATCTGAGACAAGCCGGGATGTCTGTGGAGAGTTCCTGAGGGTAGAAAATACAAGGGGCTGTGAGTTCTTGTCCTCACACCTGCCATCAGGGCTTAGTTTCAGAGAAGCTGAACATTTTCAGCATTTGAAGTGTCACTTCAGTGGCACCTCTGGTGGCCTTGACTGCAAAGTTATGTGCAAATTCAGATATGTGGCACTGAAATAAAAAAGAACTGTCAAACACTGTACAGGAACAGACTCAAGCAGAACAGGGCAATTGCTTTTCAGGAAGTAAGACAGATCGTGTGAGCATGTTGAACTCCATATGGGCCATAAAGGGCTTTGGGTGTGGACAGGGTGTTGAAGGATCCCTTGGTCTGGATAGAGAGAGAAGTCAGGGTGAATGTACAGGTCTGTGGAGTCCCCTTGTGGAACACACAGCTCTCAGTCAGACAACATCTGAAAGCAAAGGGATGCAGACTAGGGGAGCTGTCAGTGCTAGGTTTTTAATTCCTCACAATTCCCAGGTTTGAGGTCAAGGGGCTGTCACCACTCTGGCCTATCTGTGGTAGCTCTTGGAAACCAGAAGGCTGGGGAGGGGGAATGAGAAAAGGGCACAGTCAATGGGAATCACTGGCAGATTGGTCTTTATATTAACAGAGAAGTGAGAGACAATGGAGCTTAGCAAATGGATTCTGTTCTGCCTTGTGTAGCCACGAGGTGACTTGTTTTGTTTGTTTGAAAATGACTTGAGTATCTACCAGTTGAAGCCGAGACGCCACTGCTCAATTAGAAAGAGGCCGGAGAGTCCTCCTTCTTCCCAGCAGCTATCGGCTTGTGTCCAGTCTATACATGAATTTTTTAGAGTTAGTGTTGGTTCAGGTCAGATAAAGATGATGAAAGTTTCTTAATCCTCTTAAAGAAGATTTATCAGGCTGAGTATAAAGCTTTTGGAATACAATACGGTATGTATAAAACTAAGGTCTAATCTTTCCTTTAATTTCAAACTGCTGATTGGTATTGATTTTGCAAGGAGAAAAACTGAAAAATTTCAGAGTGACAACATTTCTGTTTTGTTTTGTTTTTACCAAAATGTGTTTATGTGTCTTCTGTCCATTTGTGAATGTTAGTATTTCATTCCTTCTGCCAACCAGGTGCCATTAGGAGAAGGAAAAGCCACCCCAGAGGGTCTCTGACTGCGTGGCTCTCTGCTTACTTACACGGGCAGGGCTGAGAGATGTTTGCTCACAAAATCTGAGTCTGTTCTCCATGGCTTTCCAAGGGGGCTTTTGCCACTTGTCTGATGGAATTCATTTCCAATCTCTCCTCTTTGAGAAAAGGAGTTGCTTTCATTAAAATATTATCATCGATACCAGAAGGGCGTCTTTGCCACTTAGGGGATAGTGAGATAATTTCAAGGCACCATATGAGGGTGAGAGAGTGTGCTCAACACTGTCTCCTTGGGTGTTAAACGAATTCAGAGCAACAGGAAGTGTCAGTGTGGGGTTGGATTAGTCAGGGTGGGAAAATCAATCAGGAAGCTGATGAGATCAAGTGGAGAGAAGCCTGGGGCACAAATGTAGATAGAGGGATCTTTCCAATACCCAAAAGCATTACTAAGAGTGGACTGTAGACATCATCTGTAGAAATGGAGAAGGCAAGTTCCGGAGTTGGTGTGCACTAGAAATGGAAGAGAGCAGGATCCCCAAGGCATCCGCTGGGGGGTTTTGATTTGGGGGATAGGATGTTCTTGTCGCTGACAGTCGGGGAGTTAGGACTAAGTTCCACTCAGAACCAAAGTCAGACTTACTAGATTGAAAGATAAAGAAATGGCAAACATATCTCAGAGATACTATAATCATGGAAAAGAGGAAGAACTTAAGACCGGAGGGGTGTATTTGAGATTCAGCAAGGATTTGCCAGCTTGAGAGTAGATACGTTTTCTATGAACTCTTCATAGAAAACAGAAGGAGGCGTCACTTATTCCTTTCTATCCCCAGCACTTAGCTGAGTGTCTGCGGCACTCAGCAAATGCTCATCAGTTAAACAGAAGGAGGTAAAACAGCCCATGCCATATAACTGAGGTGCTCAGAACCCCTGTTCTAGAAGATGGGATGGTAGTAAGTCAGATGTTCTCCAAGTGGCTTAGGGAAAAGTTCCCGGAGGGCAGAAGCGCTTCCTTGTGGGTGTGTTTCAAGGTGATGGTATGGATTCTTTTAGTGCTTGACAGGACCGGTACAGATTTTTGGCTCCCTTGATGCTCACAATTCCTGTGAGGCTTCTGTTTGAGAACTCTTATTTCCAGTTTGCAAACCAGATAACTAAAGCTCCTATTAAGAGACCTGCCTGGGTCTTCAATCCATACAAGGCACAGTTGAGTCTTGGACTGTGGCCATGTGACTCCAAGAATGTTCACTTTCTTGCGTACCTCACAGCCTGTGGGATCGGGCTGCTGTGATGGGAATTCTCCATTTTTGTTTTGTTGTTTGCTGTGTGTGTGTGTGTGTGTGTTTTCCTTTTTGTCTTCTGTTTGTATTGCATTGTGGCAACAAAGATTGAGGATACAATTCAAGAAAGAAAATTAGCAGAAGGGGCCAAACAAAGCTTGCTGACATGGTATAAAAAGCCTGAGTAAGAAGCAGAGAGGAAGATAATTAATTTGCTAGGAATTCATGCTCCAGGGATAGATATTTTAAATGTTACTACTTTATCCCATGTAAGTACTCAACTGCACTGGTCCCTTGGAGAATTCAGGATCTAATTGTCGTTCCCTTTTATGCAGAGGGAAAGAGTTTCTCACATATGTGACTCCACAACAAATGAGCCTGTGTGATTTCTGTGCATGCATGTGATTTTGTTTCTTTTAGCATGGCGTCCACATAGGTGAGAGCCTTGGATCCCTCCAGTTTAGTCTGAAAGGTACAGAGGCTTTTACTCTATGGCGTTTTATTCCCAATCAGCAAAACCCTTCTTTATATGTGTCTCAGTCAGCCTCCGTGTCTGCTACTTTAACTGTGAATCTTATCTCAAAACTCTTAACCTCAGCCCTTCTAAGTCTGCCACATAGTGACATTTTACATATATGGAGGAGACTTCAAAAGCTGTTCTAAGATAAAGAAGCTACTAAATGCTTAAAACTCCCATCACGAGATTTATACATTTATACATTTGGGTTCAGATTTGCCTCTAGAAAACAAGACTGAAGAATCTAAGCACAAATACTCAACATAA